TACATTTTTTGCACACGACTGTCGGAGGAGGAACAATTACAGTGACTAATAACTCTTGGGCGTTTGAGTATTGTATTTAGACGGACTTGAAAAAAAATCTGAACTTAGCCTTTAAGAAAGAAAGACGCACAGGATGGAAGATGCCGAGGGGGGGGGAGTGGGCGAAAAATCCTTGCAGGAGGAAGAGATAGAGAGGGAGGGAGGCGCTGACACCTTGACGGATTGATTGAGATCGCCCAATACACGGTGTTGCCTACAGCCTAGATTAGCAAGAGGTCTGGGTCAGCACAATCTGTGTGTTAGATAACTCTCCTGCCTCGCAGCTGCAGCTTGATGCACCTCAGCGACACAATATTTTACTGGGTATCTCTGAAACTCACATCTCCAGATTTTGAGAACCTAGCTCGTGTGTGTGTGTGTGTGTGTGCATGATAGAAAGAGACAGACTGTGGGGGCCCAGTATCCATGGCAACCCCAGCCAGGTGCACTGGTTCATATGCAATTCAGGTAATTCAACCTACGATAAAAAAGCATGCATATAAGGTCAGTGATATTCAAATGCACTGCATGTTTTTCTCCCCGTCGTATTCATATTCAGCATCTCTCTGGACGCGGCCGCGTGGCCTCCTGCAAGCCTATATGAGACGACATCTCCCACAATGCCCTGCTTGAGTGGCAGGTATGATATTTCCACTCGGTTTGATTGAAGACTGCATTTAAAATTCGACGGCAATGTTGACAGAATATATCAGGCATGTTATTAATACACTCAATATTGCAGAAGACATGCCTGACGCCGAGGGGGGTGCTCGTTACATACAGCGCCTCGGATCATGATTTGGATAGGGTTATGATTTTTCATATAACTGCATGATTAAAAAAACATACACACACCGAAGGAGAGAAGAAGGACAAACAGAGTGCAAAAGAAAGAGGAAGAGATGAAAACAGAGAGAGACACAGAAAAATTGGGGAAATGGAAAGTGTCATGGGCTTGCTGTCGATGGGGTTTTGGAGGCTTGCGTTAAGCCAGGGGCTTTGACAGCTGGGTTTAAGGAGAAAGGAAAGGGCTATGGATTGGAGTCAGGTCTCTGCTTCATATTCTGAAGATTAAACTCCTATCCTCCTCCTCCTACACCATTTTGGACGTCTGTGGAATCATTTTACTCTGCTGTTTGTGGGTGTTTCAGCAGTGATTTACAGCCAGGGTCGTTGCTACAGAGCGCTGTGATAAAAAAAAATAAAGAAATAACACCTTGCAATCAGATATTCTGTGCCAGAGCTCACCAGCATTAGCAGTCAGAATCAGAAATTTGATTTAATCACCAGGCGCGCTGACCACGTCGATATGCGCTGAAGAAGTGAATGATGCAAGGATTGTCTGATTCTGTTTGTGTGGTCATATGTGAAAGGCTTAATAAGGGAGCTTAATACATACAAAATGTAGAGTTGATAAGATTACTCAATGCATAGAACAATGAATTAGCAACAAATTTAATGACTGCATGGTAATAAAAAATCGTGTCAAAAATGCCAACACATTACTGGGTCTAGTTTTCTGAAATGGGAATATATGCCGATTTCCTCAGTAGTAAATTAAATATCTTGTGACGTTTTATAGTTTAATTCTCTGAGAAAACAATCTGCATGATTAATCAGGAATGAAAATAACCATTAGTTGCAGCCCTAACAAAACTGTCATCCATTTTTAATATACTGGTTTTCTGCTATGTTACTCCATCTATTGGAACACTCACTATATGTGCAAAACAATGAAAAATTGACTAAATATGCACAACAGGCATACAAATTGTGGACTCATTTTTAATCATATGAATGTGCACAGATTACATAGCCAAGTGCACACTGAGTACTAACTAATGAAACCTGCCCTCCAGAATTCAGGCTAATTATGGGTTTCTATGGCTATCCTAGCTGGTGGTCATTATTAAGGGAAATCAATGTCCAATCAAGTCACTGACATGGAGGAGGTACGAAGGCTGCTTTGGGTCAAATATTTATGATATTTGCTGTGAGAGTGTTAACGATGAACATGTGATCATCAGCGGTGCCTCACTTTGAATATAGAAGTGCAAAATGTAAGACTTTTGTTGGCAGATAGGATTCAGACAGTTTTTTATAGAGGACACAAGATTGGTTGGGTCAGCAGTTGTGTAGTCAATCACTCGATAGGTGAAGATGGGTATGTTTGACATCTGTGTGTGTGTGTGTGTGTGTGTGTGTGTGTGTGTGATTAAGAGACCTCCGAAATGACCTCGCACATAGAGATGATGGTCATAAATTGGTCTGAAGTCTCATTTTCCCTGCAGGATTTTGACCAGCTGCCACAGCTTAGAACCCATTTCACTCCTACGGCCCCGGTCCTCACACACCGAGCGACAGAGTTAATGAGAACATTTTATGGCCAAATTCAACAACCAAGGAGAAGCAAATGTAATGTGAATCATGAGGGCTGTAAATAGTACGTAATCGGTAATACAGGGCTGAAACCCATTGCTTTCTCATTAAAATCACAATGTAGTTTGGTGGTACAAAGTCAGTATCACAGTTGAGACCAATCTAAGTCACAGATTACTGATAAAAGAAACATGTTCTTAAAGATAACATCATGGGGCAGTGTCTGTGCTGTCTTGGTGGGGAGAAATAAAGAAGGATTTTGCTACCACCATGTGTACCGCACCAGTAACGCAGGCCATGAATTTCTGAACAATCTCAACAATGTGCCTCATATTTACTGAAAGTGTTTTATAAATCAAAACTAACATCTGGTTTAAAATAGAACTATAGGTGTAATACTGTGGCCTATATAATTGTATATTAAATGTTAGTTTATATGTAAAACTTACAATTTACAACACAAATTGATTGTCTCAGTTGGTCAGACATCTCATGATTAGCAATGTTTTTTTTAAAAAGCCTAGATTTGATTATAAAGCTGAAAGCAAATTTAGTTCATACTTTTTTGAGGTTTTTGACATGACAATATTCTTATTGTTGTGGATCAATGTGATAATTATATTATTAAAGTTGCATTAAAAAAATAACTGAAACAAAGAAGCCATGCAACAGGGAGGCTTTAATCAGTTCTGATCAACTTTTCATTTAGCAACTTGTTAATAAAGCCCTTTACCGCTGCTGCGCATGCTCAGACAAGTTTGAGGAGAAAAAAAAAAACAGTAACTTTCGTCTACAAAAGGAAAGATTCAGTTATTATAACCAGGTCTAGACACTGTGGGCTCAGGAGTGGGCTGGCTCTTACTGAAAATCACCTGGATGGCAAATGTGGGTGTGGAAACTCACACACACACAAACAAAGACACACAAAAACACAAAACTCATCCAGTGCAAGACTTAGAATTCAGAGCAGCTTTTTTTTTTTTTTAAACTCTTCACATTGTACTCAACCTGGATTAAAGAAGAAGATGGAGTATCTACACAGGATGGGAATATATAAAAATATAAGTCACTATGAAAAGGAACAGCAATGGAAGGCAGCAATACGCCGCTGCAGCGTCTAGCCCGCCGAAGCGCTTTCCCCTCGGCTATCTTCGGGGCGTTCCATCGTCTCCTCGGCAACCTTCGTGACTCTCCGGCCCTCCCCGTGTCCGCTCGACTCCTCTCGGTGAAGCTGATCCTCTGTCGTCGTCTCCCTCGTCCTCCTCTCCGTGTTGTTGTTCTCGGTGACGCGACGGAGGTGTAGCCTGACGCGGTCTCTTACGTGTCGGTCTGAATAAAAGTGGAGCTCCGTAGACCCGGGAGTGACGAAGCGAGTCTGTGTTGGTAAGAGGATACGCATCCGATGTTTGCTAAACAGATAGATGGCTGCCCAGAGAAGTTATTTGCGCCTAATATCCGCACAAAGCCAACAAAGAGATCATGGCGGCCGTGTTGCAGAGGCTCACAAAATGAGTCAGTCTCTGCAGGGCTCGCTTGCTCGCAACACAACAGAGACATAGGTATTAATATGGGAGTGGGCTTAAATGTGTTTTTTCTTTTCATAAACAGTTTAGATATAAGTTACAGAAGCAGTTAGCCACGTAAATGCTGTTCATGTCAACATTGTGTTTAACTCAAACTGAGCCAACAAACCCGGTTAGTGAAAGTGGGGTGTCCTAGTTGCAAACAAAAACTGGCATAATACAGCAACACAGTGCATGCAGACATTTCCCTCCAAATGGGGCTCAGTGCTAGCGACCTAGCGTTATTAATACCTGCTTGATGCTAGTGTTAGTTTCTGACTGCGGGTTGTGTCTTGCAGCCGAAAAGCGCCGAAAAGCTGCGACCTTTTTTTTTGTTTTTAAAAGTCTAAATAGAGGCTTGGTTAATGTTAAAGAAATGGCTGCTGCGCTAACCATCCAAATGCATCCACATTAGCCTGTTAGCATGTTAGCTGAGCTTGAGCGGCTTGCCCGCTAAGTTGTTAGCGGGAGTTAGCTTCAGCCGTCGGTGTTCATGGGAAGTGCGGGGCTAGTTTAAAATGTGGCTGCGTGTTTTAAATCGGGACTCAACCATTGTGTTGCTATGTCTTGGATGTCACACCTGCTACATGCTTTAAATGATTTTAGTAGGTAAAAAAAGTGTTTTTATAACGTTACAAATGAATGATAGGCTAGCATGTTAAGCTAAGCCACACCCTCCTCTAGGATATCAACTATCACTGGATAAGGCTCAACCTCCAGAGTATCTGCTGTGCACTTTCTCACTGTTTGTGCCACACACACACACACACAATGTGAAGCATGGCGATGCACATACAAACAAGCAGTTTCTTACTTTTTTTTGCAGATTTTAAATGACCATGGAGGCTGGTGCAGACACACAGCAAAGTGGTGAAACAGCAGTCTCGGAATCTGAGGCCCAGCAGATCACCCTGACCCAGGTAAACAAAATCATCACCTTTTCAAATGTACATGCATGTGACAATATAAAGGATAATGATGACTGCATAATTACTCTCTGAAAAGAAGAGTCACTGCTGCTGCTGCTGCTGAGAACAGTTCATAACGCTGCATACAGACAGTGTATGGTTATGGGTTGCAGGCATCCATAGCAGCAGCCCAGGTGTCGTCCAGTAGTCCCACAGTCACCCTAGTGCAGTTACCCAATGGCCAGACAGTCCAAGTGCATGGGGTGATCCAAGCAGCCCAGCCCTCTGTCATCCAGTCTCCACAAGTCCAGACGGTTCAGGTAAGAGACACTTTTGGGTTTTATTTCAGCACATAGTAATCACAGAATGCTAAACAAAAATAAGAAATAATTAAAGTTAATACTTGTCATTGTGAGCACAATATCTTACATGTTTGTAGTTCTGTTTTCTTGCCTCACCTTTGGCTCCACCTTCATGGCCACATATGTGCGATGAAAACAAATCCGTGTAAATGATGTATATACTTGAAATTAAAGTATTATGATTGTCATCACAGATTTCAACTGTTGCGGAGAGCGAGGACTCTCAGGAGTCTGTAGACAGCGTGACAGATTCTCAGAAGAGGCGAGAGATCCTGTCCAGACGACCTTCTTATAGGTCTGTGTGACATCTTATCACTAATCTGTTGTTTGTGTGTTTATAGCTGTAGAGCTCTTTTATACCATACACACATTTCCCCCTTAATGGTATTGCTTTGTTCTTTTATCTGCCTCACATGTCTGAGTTTGGAAGAGAATGACTGATGCTCTTCTGTTTTATTAACTACTGTTGCTGTTCAGCACATGATAAAAGGCTGCAGTTTCAGTGTTCATGAGGGGGTGGGGGGGGTAAATAATTGTGACTGGTTGTTTTTTAAAGTTTGCTGAGGTTTCTCTGTGATTGTTCCCCTTTGCAGGAAGATTCTGAACGACTTATCGTCAGACGTTCCTGCTGTGCCACGAATTGAGGAAGAAAAGTCAGAGGACGACTCAGCCCCTGCCATCACCACAGTCACCATGCCTACTCCCATCTATCAGACCAGCAGTGGCCAGTACAGTAAGTACTTTTGGATTCTGGGTAGAATACAGGAAGCTACATGTTGTCGCAACGTGTGGGAGTTCCTGCTCTTGAGCACTGTCCTTGTGCTCTTTACAATTGCAACAGCTGCAATAATCTCAACATCTGTCAAAATAATTGTAATATGATGTTTTTACCATATTGTGCAGCTTTAATCACAACACATTAAGAAGCTATTGAAAACAAAGTCTTGATAATTAGATGCGGTTTAATACTGACCAGTAGTGTGATTGAATTGGCTCATATTATACCAAGGGAACACCCCTCCTCTGGTGGCATTGAAGTGAATTCTGCTCGTCATTGTTTGCACACTGAGCTGTTTACATCGGATACTGTCGGACATTGGGCAGAGTTTGTCATGACACATAGTATGTATAGTAGTATTATGTTGTTAGATTAATAGCGAGTGATACTGCTTCACATTGCACAGGGACAGTATAACAAATTGTTTAAGCTGTATAGTATAGAAAAAGGACAGATGTAGAGTCAGTGTCTGATGCACTGGCTTTGGACAACATCACAGAAGTTCATTTGAGACTAATCCTTACACACGACGATGTCCCTCTTGCAGTTGCCATCACCCAGGGCGGCGCCATCCAGTTGGCCAATAACGGCACAGACGGAGTGCAGGGCCTGCAGACACTGACCATGGCCAACGCTGGTACAGCCCAGCCCGGTGCCACCATCCTGCAGTACGCCCAGACCAGCGACGGGCAGCAGATCCTTGTGCCCAGCAACCAAGTGGTTGTACAAGGTGGGGAAATAGTTAATCATGAGCATATTTAAAGCGAACGAATCAGTTATGCACTACAGTTCGACAAATGTTTTTAAGTAAATCTTTCTATCTCTGTATCTAAAAAAAAAAAAACAACAACCCTGTTCTTGCCTGTTTTTGTCCGCCAGCTGCCTCTGGTGATGTTCAGGCCTATCAGATCCGCACAACCCCCACCAGCGCCATCACTCCTGGGGTGGTCATGGCAACTTCGCCTGCACTGGGCACGGGAGGAGGCACCGAAGAAGTCACACGCAAAAGGGAGGTGCGGCTTATGAAAAACAGGTATGTGCATTGTGAGGTAGACAAATGGCGTAGACTTTTCCAGTTTATGCGGTAGTCTTGGTCGGTGCTGTTATCTTTGATACTGTGCTAAAGAATGCTACAGTTAAAGCAGAGCTGACTGTGGCTCTCTCTTAAGAAAGGAGAGAAATACTACACAGGTGCTCATTTTAGGTTTTCCTCACTGGGCGGGTGTTGCATGCAACGAATAAAGCAGCTTGGTTGAAGTGGCTAGGCCATGTAAGTAAATGTAGCACGTATTTTTAGACCTTGACCACAGACATAGACTCACACATGGTCTTAATGTCTCACAGGGAGGCAGCCCGCGAGTGTCGCAGGAAGAAGAAGGAGTACGTCAAGTGTCTGGAGAACCGCGTGGCTGTGCTGGAGAACCAGAACAAAACCCTCATCGAGGAACTCAAAGCCCTCAAAGACTTGTACTGCCACAAATCTGAGTAGAAACGTCACCAAACGCCTGTCAGGGGCTCAACAGGTGCCCATCTGTCCCCATGTACAGAGACTCAGCACAGAGCCATGCATCTGGATGCCACTCCCCCTTTTCTACTCTTTTGCTTTCTTTTTAAAAAAAAACTGCTGAAATATCTGTAAAGTGACTCACCAGGAATAGAGAAGAACACACCACCTCCCCCTTCAGCGATTTTTTTGAAATCGTAATTCTGTTCCCATCAGTTTCCCATGAAAGGGTGAGGCAATGTTAAGGACGGACGCGGAGGAGAGTTCAACTACACAGGGTCCTTGTGGTGACGCAATAGAACAGACAATGTTTCATGTTTTGATGCCACTGATGGGGAAGCATTCCAGTCACTGGTGCCTGGACTAACTGGGCAACATCACCAGCAACGGGAAACTGCTCAATTGCCATCGCCACTACCGACGGAACTTTTTACAGTTAAATCTCCCCGAGACACTTGGAGGTTACCTTCGTGTGCAACATTTGTAATTGTAACTGAGCTCTTGCATTAACATCTGTTACTTATTAATGCTTTGAAATGTAGATGGGCTGTGTCATGGACATTTTTATCTTTTAGCTATGTTTTGGTTTACTATGTATTGGATTATCTGCTTGCGTAATGCCATTGACTTTTTTTTTTTTTTACTACTTTAATTTACTCTGCCTTGATACGACATGAACAAAAAAAGAGACTGTAGTTGAAAATCTCTCAAGCGGAACATTTATTTAACTCTTCAAGTGTTTATTGGGTCTCTGATGCATGTTTCAAATCATATTCCTAAGTAAGGCTCTTTGTTTTTTTGTTTCTGGCAATCAAACATCCCCAGACATATAAAAGGAGCAGACTAATTTAGTTTCGTTTAGCTCACTGTACTTTAGAATAAACAGGGTCCCCGTGGCATAATATGCCTCTGGTCATAGTTAATTGTTCAGAAAAATTTGAATAAAACTCAGATGAACTGCTGCTCATGCATCAGAGTAAATGATGTAAACATAAAACGGTTAAATGACAGTGTTTGCGCTGTCTTCTCCCATAATTTTGTATTATGGATTTCTTTTAGATTCATTTTATTAATTCCTGGATTTGAAGAAAAGTCAAAAACAATGAGCCTTACTTGTTTTGCAATGGAAGAAATACCATGCCTGCATATGTCTTCTTCTTTTTTGTTGCCTTTTAGCTTTTATTGGCAGGACAATAGAAAGAGAACGAATGACATGCAGGAAAGGGCCTCAGTACGCGACTCGAACATGGGCCACTACTGTAAATGCTCAGCCACGACACAAAGTCTGCGCTAGGGATGGGACGATACGCGGTTTTATCGCGATTTAAAAACACTCAGATGAGTTTGATGAATTTCCATTATCGGGATAATCGGGAATATCCTCATGAGTGACTTGAAAAGCGGTCTTGCTTGCTAACGTACACTCTAATATTGATCTCCCTCCCTCCTCTAAATGGAGCCTGCATCTTTCCAATCATTCCAAAGTCACCATGTGTGAGGGCTCGGCTTGCCGCGCTGTATTCCCCACAAACGACGTTAATTCGCATGTGTGCAAATACTTTGGATTCCGAACTAAAGAACGATAGAGAGGTGAGATGCAGGCCCGAGGTGTACCATCTGTGACGCAATAAAAATATGTTTCTTAGCAAAATGTAAGGTAAAATGATCCCAGTATCTTAAAATGCCATTTTAAAGAGTTTTAATATGTTGTTGATTATCAAGATGTCAATCGCAGTTAGTTTGGCCAGGAAAATTGTGAAATGAAATATTCATATCGTCCCATACCAAGTGCGCATTCTACCCGGTGAGCTACAATGGTCGCTCACCTTTCACTCCATATTTCTAAACAAACTTTGGAAGCACGCGGTCCATCACTGGAATCATGGGTCGCCTTGAATGTTGGTGTATTATACCGTCTTTGAACATGTCATGAGCACACCATTTTGTTGTTGGGGAAAGTTTTGATAAGGCATCATCAGCAGAGGCCGCTTCAGAGTTCTGTTTACAGGATTACAAAGTGGCATGCGCACTTTCCTTGCATATACAATCCTCACACATTTCACGGGAAAATCTCACGCAGCGCCGCAAGGTTTTACTCTACAGTAACCCTGCTAACCAGTCATCAGTTACTGTCCATGAGTGTTTTGTTGCTTAGTGATGATCAAGGCATCATCGTGCATTTCATTAGATGTTATTAGTTGTGCCGGGCCTCATATCTCACCGAGTACGGTTCGATTGCACCTGTCGGACACCCTGCGAAAGCATTGTAAAATACGACCAAATCAAAAAGACAATGACTTCACGGTGAACAAAATGGATACTTTCATGATGATGAAATGCCATATTGTATTACTTTAGGTATTATGTATTGTCATTACATAGTATGCTTTTTTTTATGTTGCTTTTCATTAATTTTGTATTCACAATTTCTAAATGTCGGCACCAACTTGTATAAAACAGTGCATTATGTTAGAGCTATTGAAATATTACATTTTTGGCAGCTGTTAATAAATGTGTTTCTGGTAATCTTTGAGGATTTTTGAACATTTTATTTGATTCTTATGCAAAAAAAAACTAAATAATTACAAATAAGAAGGCAATCAATGAATGAAAACTGACTAGTTCGCACTCAGTTGTCACAAATCCTTCCTAGGTGGCAGTTTCCAAGATTTATACACATGGATGTCCCTCTGTTTGTCGTAGTAGACCTCTTCGACTGTGAACCGCTGCCTCAGCATGCTCAGGAAGTCTGTGTCTCGCTTGTAGCGGATCTTACAGGCCAGTAACACCACGCTGGTGTCTGAACACAGGTGCTCCAGAGTCTGCAGCAGTGGCACGAAGGTGTCCTCCAGGTAAACGATGTCTGCTCCCAGCACCAGATCGAATCCCCCTGCTGGGTATTGTTCGAGGCCCTCGCCCCAGGACAGCTCAGACACAACCACTGAACCCTGGGAGTCTGGGGGCAGGTTGGCCTTCACATTGGTAGACAGGAAGTCCAGGGCAGGCTGCCTGTCAGTGATGGTCACTTTGGCACCTTGAAGGGTTAAGAAGGTCACATTGACTGATACAATGAATATAGCACAATCATGTTTAATACCTTTTTATAATTCATATGAACTCACCCAGCAGGGCTGTCACAATGCCCACCAGTCCAGTGCCAGCTCCCAGTTCAATAGCTTCCTTCCCCTTCACCTCCACCTTCCCCAGCTCCAGGTACATACACATAACAACCGCCTGGAAAACCGACGCACTATAATCACATTAATGAACAACAAGGAGGAGTAGTAGCAGTAACGTTACCACTAATACCGTCACTCACCGCGTCCCACACTACTGCTGCTACCCCGAGCTTTTTCCAGTCCTGGGCGAGACGGAGGTCGTGGTTGGCGAACCGAAACTGTGCCGATGAGTTGTGGAGTTTGGAGAGCGCAGGTAACGAATTGTCTACGTACGGAACCAGCGCCATGCTGAGAACTGAACACAAACTGCACTATATAGGCATACTTACCTATATGTGTACGCATGCGCAGTGGGGTTCTCCTTCTTTGAGGTTTTTTAAAAGGCAGCTAGCTAATTTCCTGAGTCATTACTGCCATCTTGTGGAGCGAAGTATCACCTTCAGTGTCTTCTTTTAAATCCTGCCGGCGTCGGTTTTCTCCAAAATACCACGCAAATGTTCTTCCTCATCGCTTCACAACTTGCTATGTTGTAGTTTTGTTTTTTTAGCTAGTAAAAAATAAATAAATAAAAAAAATTCAGCGTAAGGAATAGACTCCATTCAAGAGTCTATGTATCGTAAAACGTTGACATTTCCAGCCAATCAGGTTCCTCCTTAGCTTAGAGGTGACCAATGGGAGGGCCTGGTTTTGCGATGGGCGTGTCTACGAAGGGTTTTTCTCAACGGCTGTGTAGTCTCTGTAATGGAGGGGGGCGGGGCCTGCGCGTGAATCCCTCCAGGTGTGTGAAGCTCACAACTACGTAGCAGCAAGGTCGTTTCCGGTTCGTGAGCCTTCTTGCACACAAAATAAAAGCAGGGAAATTGAGCGCAGTTTTAAATAATGTTTGTGTGATTAAAGGTTAAAGTATAAAAGAATAAAATAAACACAGGAAAATACAGGTTTGTCTATTGTTTAATGTGTGCATCACAAAAGTTCAAAACTTAATTTAAAAAAAGTCCTTTAATCTCGATACTAGACTAGTTTTGTCCTCAAAGCTATGATTTTCCATTTTTCTATAATTGTTTCTATCAGCTGAAGGTTTTAATGTTTGCTACACGAGTGCTTTGAAAAGTTTCAACGTGTTTTTTTTCTCTTTTTTTTGCCATAAAAACCATCATGAACTTGGTTGTAGTTTCATTTTCTTTTTAGATTTTACCAGCCACCTTTCTTCCCGAGTGCTGTATGCTTGTTTTGTGTAGTAGAAACCTCAACATTGTTCACAATTAAATAAAATAACAGCTTTTTTCTCAGTGCATTAAAAATGACTTAATCAAGTATCTAAATACATGCCAATCAACTTAACCATTAATTAACTCCTCGTTTTAGCTGTACATACATAAAACATGTGTTTTGTATGCTTAATTTATAAGGTAACAAGTAACTAAATCTGTCAAATAATTGCAGTGGAGTAAAATTACAATAGTGCAGTTACAGACGTAAACAAGACGACGTTTAGTTTGAAAGGCAGTATCCGGACGTTACCTCTGAACTTCTTCCAGCGGATTTGACATCCAAGACGTGTCCTGCAAATGCGACGAGATGAAAGCTAACGCTGGCTATCGTGTCAAAACCCCAACCCTCGCCACCTCTCCGCTTCCTTAGCTCTCCCTAAAAGTCTCTTCCACGCAGTCACTTCGTACGTGAGTCCGGCAGAGAGAGAGAAAAAAAAAATAATAAGTCTTTTATTGTGACAGAGACTTCAGCTGCAGGGAGAATGGATTGAGCTGCGGAAGCTAGTGTTAGCCGGCTCGCCATGGAGGGAGATAGAGGAGCCTGTGACTTTGTGTTGTTAGCCTCTAGTCCGTAAAATGACTCGGGATAAGTTATTCGCCGTCCAAAACTACTCAGTCCACGCATGTGATTGTCCTTAAAGTGCGCCAGTGCTATGCTGCGCACACGCCCTGAATATGTCAGCTGCCCTGCACATACCGCATATACCCAGCTGGCTGTCATTACATAGATCCCTTTCTGCTCTGGAGCTGGATCTTTCACCTTGCAGCCAAACAACCAGGCTAGACTGCTCTCTCATATACTGATCATTTTAAATATAACCAAATAATAATAGTAATAATAATAATCTTAGACAGACCTAGATTCACTTTGGTGTTAGATTGCATCATCAGCCACTCAAAAGATTGAGATTAAACTTTGTGCAAGTTGCAGATACAGTAGACTAGTAGGTGATCCCTCCCCAGTTGTATGGGACACAGTGCCGGCTGTAGCAGGACTGTTGTAGGTCAACGATGGGAGGCTCTGTGTCTTGCTGCATCTCCCCCGGGGAGAGTCCTAAGATCCACAGGAGAGAGGTGGAGCTGGAGGAGTGTCCCATCACCACCACCGAGGACGTGAGCGAAGACACCGGGACCTACCTGCAGCACATCAGCGACAGGGAGCTCCCCGACGGTGGGTGGCGAAGGGACTGTGAATGTTCTGTGTCCTTGACGGGGTTTTTTTTTTATCTACAGTTCAGCACTATACAATAGAACCACAATGGAGACCCACAGCGCTTCACTTTCATGCTTTCGTCTTACAGAACTGGCCCAAGAAGCCAACCCATCAGACCACCCCAGAGCCAGCACCCTCTTCCTCAACAAGTCACAGACGGACGGTCAGTATTTTCTCCATCAAAGATGTCATCATTTGATTTTTTTCCCCCACCCCCCACTCTCTTAATCCCCCCTCCCGTCACTTTTTCTCCCTCACCATTGCAGTGCGCGAGAAAAGGAAAAGCAACTACTTGAATCATGTAAGTGACAGAGCCACGTAACGCTGACAAAGATGCACTCGCACCCAGAAATGCAAAAACAAAAAAATACCCGTTCAAGTGAAAGTGTGTGCTTGAAATGAACCCGTCGTCTCTTCCCCTCGCAGATGTCCCCGGGACTCCTGACAAAAAAGTACAGTTCCTGCTCGACAATATTCCTCGACGACAGCACGGTCAGCCAGCCCAACCTCAAGAGCACGATCAAGTGGTAGGTGGCGTTACCTCCGTCTTTTAGACTGCCGTTTTAGTGTGCTGATCGGTGGGACATGAGCGAGAGTTGAGGCTGAACTGCTGGCAGAATATGAAGATGTCCTTTCGAGGCGCGATCGACGCGTCAGTCGGTCAATCTGCAGATCGAGGAAGACCTGATGTGTCGCTGCTAACAGAGAGCAGGAGCTGTTGTGTGGTGCAGAAGTATGAAATCACTTCCGCTGGTTCACTGTTTTGTCTGTGTCGACTTCTCTCTGTTCCAGCGTCGCATTGGCCATATACTATCACATAAAAAACAGGTAGGACAAGTTTGAAATATTGTCACAGATTTCTCCTCTTGTAGGTGTTTTGTTATGCAGTTTTCCCTTGTGCCCAGTACTTTAGGGTTTAGGGTTTAGTTAGGGGAGATGAATGTTTGAGTAGGGTTTATCAAACTGTGTTGGCATAATAGTAAAGCCTTGGTGGTGGTCAGTCAGTCAGTAACAGTTAGTTAGTTAGTTAGTTAGTTAGTAGTGTCAGTAGGTGGTTAGAAACCACACAAATGAATGAATAAATATGGGATTCTGTCAACTTTTAATAGCATCAAAGCAACTTTTTGTTCATGATATTTTAGTTTGTTTCATTAAGGAAATAGAAAAATGAAATATACTGGCGTTTCATCAACCTCTAATGGTATCATAACAACTCTTTGGTCAGTAGTCACTCAGTTTGTAAGCTAGTTTAGTACGTTTATTGGCATCATAGCAACTCTTTGCTGATGGCCAGCAGTCAGTCAGTCATTCAGTTAGGAACCAGAGTCTTCACCCTCCTGTCAGTGAACACAAATAATGCCACAAATAAATCCAATAATAACTTTTAAGTGCTCAGTGGTTGTTCAGTCTTGCTTGTGGTGTTGAAATTCCATGTGGGTTCAGGCCGTAGAGAGACAATGACTCATTGCTATTGACCTCTAACACCGTTACACCTCCCAAAGATAACTGACGGTAATTTTATACAACGGTACAAAAATCCCACAATCTGCACTTTTAACATTCGCTCGTTAATGTTCCTGCAGAGACTCAAACCGCTCGCTGGATATATTCGACGAGAAGAAGCACCCTCTAACGGTGAGTTGAGGAGTTTGATTACACGCAGCAGCGATATTTACTGTCCGCTCTGTGCTGATTGACCGACGATGACCGCCCTCTGCCCAACAGCGAGAAAAGGTCCCGGACGACTACTCTGTGGTAGACCCGGAGCACAAGCTCATCTACCGCTTCATACGAACGCTCTTCAGCTCCGCGCAGCTCACTGCTGAGTGCGCCATCGTCACTCTGGTAAGTTTTTCAACACCAGATTTTTACATTACAAGAGTCTGAAACATTATAATAATTATTCTGACCCTCTTATCTCTATCCCTGTTATCTGAATATACATTCCCTGTGTGTTAGGTCTACCTGGAAAGGCTGTTGACGTACGCTGAGATGGACATCTGCCCTTGTAACTGGAAGCGGATCGTTCTTGGTGCCATCCTGCTGGCCTCCAAGGTCTGGGATGACCAGGCCGTGTGGAATGTGGACTACTGCCAGATCCTCAAAGATATCACAGTGGAGGATATGTGAGTGTTACTTTTCATCCACGAAACAAACCTGTTGCAGCCCAGTGTTGTCACTTGTATTCTTTGACCGACCCGACTGCTTTGTCCCCAATCTGCAGGAACGAGATGGAGCGTCACTTCCTGGAGCTGCTCCAGTTCAACATCAACGTCCCGGCCAGCGTTTACGCCAAGTATTACTTCGACCTGCGCTCGCTGGCTGATGACAACAACCTCGGTTTCCCTCTGGAGCCGCTGAGCAACAAGCGGGCCCAGAAGCTGGAGGTGAGTTTGTGCAAGGCTGCATTCACACACTGTATGTGAAAGTGTCCAAATTCAGATACTGAGCTTTTTAAATCACTGAACGGATGTTTGTTTCGTCTCTAGGCCATCTCCAGGCTGTGCGAGGACAAGTACAAGGACCTGAGTAAAGCTGGTATGAGGAGGTCTATCAGCGCAGACAACCTGGTTGGCATCAAGAACTCCCAGGCTGTGCTGTCTTAGGCTTTGCGACAGCCATCTTAGATCCAGCGAGGAGGCTTAGAGTGAAGCTACAGTCAAATAACATTTGCCAAGAGACATTTCCAAAGTAGATTAATATCAGTGAAGTTCCATTGCGAAATGTTAAATATCAACTTTGGAATAGCATACGTTTACCATACAATATCTCTAAAATACAATGAATCCAGTCTCTATGTGTTCATTACAAAGTATTTAAACTCTCTGCGTTTAAAGCATGGTAATTTGATGAAAGATTTTGCAGATTGTCACTTTTTTTTTTTTTCTCCAAATGGTGGATGTGTAACCTTGGAAGGAATCTGCATGAAAATGCTTCCTAAAGTCAAACAAACTGAGGACCTCAACATCTTCTCCTTCTTCTTCTTCTTCTTCTTCTTCTTCTTCTTCTTCATTTTTTACATCAGCAGATCTTTCGGGGAGTAATTTCTCTGGCTTCGGCCCTCGTCTCTCCACCAGCTGTGTCCCCACTCCTTTATTCACATGATTACAAACTGTCTTGAACTACCCTGTGGTGTAGTTCTGCACATGGACAAAGACTAGACTTTGTTTTGCTTACTATGTAGGCCCCTATAGCTGTGAAATGTACGAGACTTTATTTAATTCAAATAAATTTCAGTGGCTGTTTCAAGTTGAGGCTGCTTAGGTGGGAAAATGTGTCGTGGTGGTTCTTTTATGTGTGGGAACATGCATCTTCTCACCCAGTATTGATTCCAGTACCTCAGTTCAGGGTGTCTGACCATTTTGGATTCCTGATCTGGTACCAGTACTTGTTTACCCCAAATTTAAGATTT